TCTCTACCCAAATTAGCATCGGCAACCTCGATAGTCACATGCCCGCACATTTTTCTTTGCCATGACTTTGATAAGTGTAGTGTACATCCTGTATTACTATCATAATCATAAATCATGGACATAGAAACAGGCCATGCTCATATAATCACCAAAGACCCAATCATCTCAATATCAACAGCCATAAAGTGTCCCCTGTTATAGCTACTATGTCTAATACTAAAGGAAAGAAGAAAGAAGAAGCAGAGGAATAAGAACAACAACAACAGCTGCAGCTGCAGCTTCACTATTCCTAGCAGCAAATGAATCATTAAGTCTGATATTACATGCAGCAACTGTCCATGAGCTCTTGTCATATCCTGAATTCTACCTCTATATCCCTGTCTTTATGACAGACTGGTTATGGTCAAACATTGCTCTTGATGCCAACAATGGAAATGATACAGACAATAATCAATATAAAAAAGTGAGCATCTACAAAAATAAAGTAGCAGGTTTCTGTAATCCAAATGTATACTCACCTCTACTTGCAGTATATTAATATGGTCTTGCAAGTGCAATCTCTCATCTGATCAATTCAATTTATCCAGCAATCAGAGGTAATGGCTGAGCCCCATATTACCAGCTAATCCTTCCACACACCAAGTAAATCACTTTCAACCACCTATCAATATAATGTGGGTGAGAACTGGGATTACAACACATACACAGGCTGAATTCACAACCTGGAAAAATAGTGCTGTTCCAAGTACAAATCATTTTGTGCCTGCATTTGAACCATCAATTGAGATCACAGAAAACATACCAGTTCATACTGTAAAGAAGCGTCGCTCATTGATAATGAATGACACAGTCAACATTATTACTGCTGCAGATAGACCAAATAAAAGTACTTATGTCGGGACATTAATGGCAGGCTTGGCTCCTGTAAAAGAGTTAGAAGTTAAGATCGAAGCTGGAGAGAAGATTAGATATAAATCATTAGATGACACAACAATTGCATTGGAACAAGAAGAAGCAGCAAATCTTATCACAACAGATCATTACTGGCAAGACTCATATACTTCCCATTACTGGTTACATCAAATTATCTGTTGCAAGGGCCTCTTTCCACAAATTGCTATCAGTATTGACAGAATGTGAGAATTAGAAAATAGTTTGAAGAAATACTTCCACTGTAGTGGGTGTGTAGATAAACAAACTTCAACTGCTGGTGTATTCTGCATTGAAAAACGGGAATTGAAAAAACATGCAGAGACAATCCACTTACATATACATTTCCTTGAGAATTGGCATTGCTGTGTACATCATGCAGGGGTCTATTATGGGCAAATGCATGGTCTTTCAGCAGCACTATTAAGATGCACTACCACATCAGTTATGAGCTGAAAGGTTAGAAGCTATTCCAACACAGCAAAAGCTAACAGGAAACTGCCAAGACATACCAACACCACAGGCTGTGCATAAGCTAAAGCAAACAGGTAAATCTATACAATGAGGCATCCCTAAGTTATTACCATTATTATGCCAGGAGTCTTCTTGGACTACACAGTAACAGGTCTGATGATAAAGGACATTTACAACTCCTCAGAGAAAAATCAATTGCCACTGATGGGCAAAAACATTGTCAAGCTTTCTGCAACCAAGAACAGTTTCTGAAAGATTTTATACAGGCATATAGAATTCGAGAACAGAGTTGTAACTTAACTCAGCAAATTTGCACTAGGCAGCTTTGTGATTTGTCTGAAAACAAAATCAGCATCCAGCAAGGTAGTATTTCAAGAATGCTTCAAAAGAAATATATACCACAAGACAAACTAACCTTGGACATTATTGGAATGTAGGTGTGCAAAGTCAATGATGATAGTATTCTGTTGATCATAAATAATATCTATAAATATTATAATGTCATTGAATAAACTTTCTAAATGGCAAATGTCATGCACTCTGATACTTCTCTGTATAGTAAATGTGCAATGTTATCTGTATAATGAAATTAAACATGATTAATGCTCACAAAAGACCATTTGCACAAAGCATAGATGTTCAAAAAAATTTGTTTGTTTTGTTTGTTATGTGTCATAACGACGAAATTTAGTGACGTATTCCTCCTAGATTTCTGCGCAGCTCCGATGGTAACGCAAGGATTTCGATCAGCA